CATGATAAGAAATTATCTATGTTAAAACACCCAGCATCGAGTCTGGCACGTGGTTATTGCTCAGGAAGTATCCTCAGGACTTGTTCAAGCTTCAGAGGCACAGATTCAAGGACAGAATCCACAGGTCCCTGATTTCTGAACGTGGCCCCACGGCAGGAGCACAGCCCCAGCTCTGGGCTGCTCTGATGTCCCATCAGGAGTCTGGGAGAAAAAGAAAACACATGGTGGATTATGGGATTAGGGTTGTTGTGCAAAGGCAGGAATCAGTGGGAGGAAAGGAATCCCTTTCTGCAGATAGTGTGGGGCGGGGCTTGATAATCCTACCTCCAGGCACTGATAAAGCATGGATCCACGGTCACTGTGCGTGTACTCAGGAGACAGGGCCTGTCTCCATGGAAATGGGAAGCAGGGCAGAAAATCAAGTTCCTAAGACTCAGGGCGTCTCATGTAACCTTGAAACACTGCATTTTACAAACAGGACAGATCCTGGCACAGAAAAAGCTCTCAATGAGTATTTATTTATTTGGGGCCTTCCCCGGGCCAGGTACTGTTTTGGGTATAGAGAATACAATGCTGTGCCAATGTGACCCGGTCCTGTCCTCTGAATGCTGCAGTCTAGTAGAGGAAACATAAATCTGAAAGAGTGAAGTAATTCGCTGTGACAAGGGTATGAAAGAAAGGGCCAGGGACTCCAAGAGCCTGTAGCAGGGGATCTGGTCGCACCCGCAGCAGGTCAGGGGAGGCTTCCCTGGGAAAGGGCTCTGGTGAGATGAGAGATGGAGGATGAGGAAGCATTAATCAGCATTAATCAGGGAGGAGCAGGAGGCTGTTCCAGGAGCAGATAACAGCCTGTGCTAAGGGTGACTGGAAAGAGCAGGGCAGGCAGAGCAACAGAACAAAGTCCTGGGAGGCTGGGGCGCAGGGATACCAGTAGGAGGCTGTAACAGTGGCCTACAGAGATGATGGCACAGCGGGCGAGGGAAAGGCAGGGAGGAAAAGGAGCTGGGACAGATGGTTCTTGACGTGTTGGGTGAAGGTTTTGAGGGAGAGGACGGTCTCCAGGATGACTCTGGGTTTCTGGCCGGGGCCATGGGGTAGATGATGAACCAGGTTTCAGCGACAATAATTTGTGAATCTTTCCATTTGACCTCCTTTATTCCAGGTACTGTGCCAGGCAGTGGGGCTGCCCGCCAGGAGGATGGCCCCTGCCTTCAGGGAGCTCATGATCTAATGGGGGAGACCTGCCATGTCATGGGGGCCCTAGGAGTGGGGGGAGAGACTGTAAACGGTGCTGCTGCAAGGGAGATACGGACAAAACTAATGTGGAGAGACGCATCCAGGAGGGCCTGGTGAGGAGGCGGGATCTGAGCAGAGCCATCGAGGACAGACAGGGAAAAGTGGGTGAAAGAGGCCAATCCAGGTAGCAGACACAAAGAAATAAAAATACTGGGAGGGTATAAAACAGTGTGGGGTGGCCAGGGGACAGTGTGAGGAGGGTGCGCTGCAGGGCTGGCCACCACCTGCCTGCCTTCCTCCCGGGCTGCCGCGTGGGTCCAGTGTGTGAGCGCTTAGTCAACTGTTGCTACAGTTATCACGGTGCTGGATTTATTCTTGTGGTGCACCAAAGCTCTCCACAGATATCAAGGATTATGAGTTCAGATCCCTGCCTAAAAGGAGTATCTGCTCCTCATGACTATAGGTGGGGAAGCTTTACCATGGTTGAGTAATTGCCCAAGACCTTGCAGGCAATAAGCAGCACAGAAGCTGAGAGAAACCCAGCAGGGCGTTTGCTTTAGTTTCCAACAGGGGACGTAGGCTGGGAGGAGAAGGGGTCTGTGTCACATGCTGCCTCAGGAAGATTTGCATCTGGCTTAGGGCACCATGTTTGGTTGCGCAAGTTGGGCCACGTCCCAGGACAACTGGCCTGTGGGCTGCGTGGGGCTGAATGGAGCCCATCTGCACTCAACAAACACGTGCCCGGCTTCCCTCCAGGGGCACGGCTTCGTCTCCTTCACACGGAGGGCGCCGTAAGTGCTGCTCCTGCCAGCCTTGCGGGCGGTGGTGGGGCACTGAGCAGCTGGGAGACTGACAGGACGCTGTGGCACCAAGCGACGGCTGGTGAGCACCAAGGAGAGTTTTATGTGGCACTTGAGGGCAGTTTTAGTCATAGGAAAACCAACCGAGGCCTCTGTGGGTTTAAAAATGAATGCATAATTGATCAAAGTAACATTTAGAAATCTAGTTAATTTTAAAAGTCTCTTTTAAGGGGGATTTTATAACTGAATTTAACTCCCCTGAATAATTTAAATTATAAATAATTTAAAATAAACTAAGCTTAAAAATATGAAATCTGTTAGGTTGTCATAAAAGTTCCATCATTATTTACAAAATTTATAAAATTATATCTTTCAATTTAAAATCACAAGTCTAAATTAATTATTCCATTGCATATTTTATATTAAAATCACAAAGCAAATCTGTTACATATTCTCATATGCCGAATTATTTTAATATTGCAAATACTTTCAAACTAAATCTACACTGATTTTTTTCTAAACATAATATAAAAAAGGTAACATTATAGATTTGATTTATCATTTCTAAGATTAATTCTAAATCCTCCCATGACTAAAGACACTCACTAAAGAAACAAGTTTACTAACCAAAGCAATGTAAGGATATATAGCCAAGCAAATTTGAGGTTAGTTTTCAACTGGCTAAGAGTTTTCATTAAACACGCGGTATGGCAAGAGAGCCAGCGCTGCATTCAGGGAAAGGCATTTGGCAACTCACACTGTGGGGCTGGCCCTCTTTTTAGTATCCATGGCAGCAGGGGATGCTGAGTCCATGTCCTGCCAATGGGACAGGTCTTGCAACCCAAGGCCCTAAACTCAAGTTAAGCTGCAAGCAACTTGTCTCCTGTCTCAGCTTCATCGCCCCTTCAGGATGACCCTATCAGGTCATTCATTACAGGATTCATCTAATCAATTTCCTGCTTGATTCTATTCTGAGTTGGGTTTTCACTTTTCTTCTCTGGCCAGCCACCAAGCATTAGCAATAATTTAATGGCATCCGTGGGTTCTGTATGCTTCTGGTGGCTTTGCGTGGCTCTCTCCAGACACTAAGGTTTTGCTGATGGCAGCCAGCTGTGTCCACCTGGCCAGAGCAGCTGTGCTCTGTGTCGTGCTGAGCCAGGGAGCCGCACTGGCTTCTCTGTCCACTGTGAAGCTTAGAGACATCAAGGGGTCTAGACGGATAGGCTGCCTGTGCTCCCATGTACTCTGTTGAGAGACATCTGTCCTCTCGTAGCTCAAGGTGCTAAATACAGTAAAGAGCTTCTGAATCTGGATGACATGTCAGAATTTAAAAAGTCCAAATATGTATAATTTTACTTCTAAGTAAATAGAAGAATAATTACAGCATTATATAGTAATATCATGGTACAGGTGCTCCAAATACATGATCTCTAATTATCACAAATTTCTGAGTAAATATCATCATGCCCAATGAAAAAGATGACAAACATGAGGCCCAGAGAGATGAAACCATCAAGAGCTTAGATGTATTACTAAGTAGAGGTCTCATGGGACCACGATAATGAGCAGGTAAGATATAGTCCTAAAAGCCAATAGGAACTGTTAAAATGCTGAAGTGGTGTTAAGCTTAAAGACTTGACTGGCCACCAAGTATAAAGTGTAATAATAGCTTCCCTGTACTGAAAACCCACTAAGTGCCAGGTGCTATCGGGGAAAGAAACCAGGCTCCAGGAGGGAGAAGACCCACACTAGGGGTCATTCCAGTCGCCTCACTTTCCACCTCACTTGCCCTGTCGGCCTCAGTTTCTTCCTCTGACAAGTAAGGGCGATACGACCCTCCCTGCAGGCTCCACAGGGTTGCTGAAATGAGCCGTGAAAAGAAGTGATTTGGAAAGTGGAATGTGCTCTAGGTGTGCAAGGGCATGTGACACTGGCTGAGCGGCCACTCCTGAGTGGTGGCTTTCAGCCTGGCTTGCAAGGAGGAAGCATGCGTTCTAAACCAGATGGGCGCGGTCTGAGTGCCTCGGTGTTTGCCCTTGGCGTCAGGGATGTCACCTGCTCTCCACCACGTGGGTGGGCCAAGGGATGGGGCCGTGTCTGCCGTGAGGCAGATGAAGCAGCCTGTGAGGACGCTGATGAGAGGCATCGGCCCGAGGGCCTTGGAGGAAGTGTGGGCAAGGGTCCAGGCAGAGTAGAGGGGGCCAGGAGTGGGGCGGGAGCTCCTGTGGTCCCAGGGCCCCTTCACCACCTGAATGCGGAGTCCCAGCCCCTCATCTAGCAAAGGTGGGGTGATGGCAGTGGCGACAATGGGGCACATTGTCCATAGAGAATGTAAAAGCAATAATAAAAACAGTTAAAAGTTGGTCTGCGTATTATCATCACCATATGCTGGCTGTTCTAAACAATGTCAGTGATAAAAATACTTTTCTGCTTGCAAGGGATGGGGGAAGAGGGACATTCCCAGTGCCCTCTCCCTTGGCATGCCATGGACCCCCCGCCCCTCCCCACAGTCAGCCCTTAACAAAGGGTCGGGGAGAGGAAGGACAAAAGGACAAGGAAAGAGCTCTCTGGCCTGTAGGGTCATCTGAGTAGACAGCTAAGAGGAGCTGCCAGGATGGGCCCAGCTATCCCGGAGGAAGGAGGAGCGGCCTGGGAGGAGTGTGGGTGGACAGGCTGCTGGGTTGCCCAGGGGAGGACTCCGAGTCCCCTTACAGGACCGCCCTTTTCACCTGGGTGCCACCCCCTGTGCCACGTGCAGGTTATAATCAATTGGCAAGCACATTGAATGACTGATTCCTGAGCCTGCCCCTCGCCCCACCCGACATTCTGTACATGGGAACCAGATTCTCCTCCTGGCTCTCCAGCAAGAGCCGCTCTGCCCAGGCTCCACTGGCAATCTGTACTCTGCCCCACCCCTGGCCTGAGCGCTGGCCCTCACAGTGACCACCTCTCTCTCCTCTGCAGGAGCCAGGTCGATCCCACCCGTGATTCACATAAGAATCGAGGGCCTGTAGCCACAGAGCCAGACAAGGATAAAGGTACCGTGGGCCTGGGGCCTGTGAAAGACCAAGGTCCTGTGGTCCAAGAGCCTCCAAAGGATCAAGGCCCTGCCGTTCCAGAGCCTCTGAAGGATCAAGCTCCTGTGGTCCCAGGGCCTCTGAAGGACCAAGGTCCCATGGTCCCCACACCAGTTAAGGATCAAGATCATGCGGTCCCTGGGCCTTTAAAGAATGAAGGTTCTGTGATCTCAGCACCAGTCAAAAACCAAGGTTCCTTGTTCCCGGTGCCTCTAAAGAATCAAAGTCCTGTGGTTCCAGCAAGAGTTAAGGATCAAGGTTCCACGGTGCCAGAGACTACCAAGGATCAAGGTCCTATGGTTCCAGCACCTGTCAAAGATCAAGGTCCTATGGCCCCACAGCATCTGAAGGATCAAAGTGCCACGGTCATAGCACATGTAAAGAATGAAGGTCCTATGCTCTCTGAGCCTGTAAAGAGCCAAGGTTTAGTGGTCTCAGAGCCAGTCAAGGATCAAGGTGGAGTGGTCCCAGAGCTTCTGAAGGATCACGGTTCTGTGGTTGCAGCACCTGCAAAGAATCAAGGTTCTATGATCCCAGAACAAGTCAAGGATCTGGGCCCCGTGGTTCCTGAGCCTCCAAAGAGTCAAGGTCCTATGGTTCCAGCACTGGTCAAGGATCGAGGTCCCATGGTCCCTGAGCCTCCAAAGATTCAAGATCCTGTGGTCCATGAGCCTGTGAAGAATACAGTCCCTATAATCTCGGTGCCTCTGAAAGATCAAGATCCTCTAGTGCCACCACCAGCCAAGGACCAAGGTCCTGTGGTCCCTGAACCTCTGAAGACTCAGGGTCCCAGAGGCCCACAGCTGCCCACTGTCTCACCTCCACCCCCGGTCATGATCCCAACTGTCCCCCATGCAGAATATATTGAGAGTTCTCCTTGACGCTCACTGCTTGACACCAAGGAAGGGGCTGGCAGTGAAAGTGCTCCCTCCCCAGGGCAGCGAAGACTCAACATTTAATCTGCATGAAACACTATTGTGTAGTCTTGCTGGAATCTAATAAAGCTGGTCCCTCTGGCTCAGCAGTGTCTCTCTCTGGCTCCATGTGAGTGTGTGTATGTATGTGTGCACCCTGCACATTTGAAAGTGGGCATGCAGGACTCTGCATCTGCATGCTGGCAAGAGGAGTCTAAGCAATTCCCAGCTCCTTCAAGTTGTCAGCCTGAGATGGGAGTGGGTGGGAGATGCTAGGAGACAGGGGACAGGACATGCCTGTGTTTCTCCTTTACTCACACTCCTACACTTCACTTCTGACACCAGGCATGTAGGAGTTGCCCACACATCAAGCAGTTATCTCACATGAGCTAGATGTCTCACAATTTAACCCAACTATCTACCTGGAGGTGGCATCATCTCCCACAGGGTAGGGGAGTCCCATCAGACTGTCCCCTGCACCTCAGATGCAGACTTCAAGTCCCCGATTGTCCGTTACCTGTACTTCAGACTGGCTATAAATTGGGGTTCCCGCACCCCCTACTTAGTCTTGATAATTTGCTAGAATGGCTCACAGAAGTCAGAAACATGTTTACTGGTTTATCATAAAAGGACAAAGGATACAGATGAACACCCAGGCGAAGGGGTGTAGAGATTCCACGCCCTTTCCAGTCGTGACGCCCTCCCAGTAGCTCCAGTGCCCAGGAGCTCACGGACTCCAATACTTTTGGAGTTTTTATGGAGGCTTCATCATGTAGGCATGATCAGTCATTAACTCATCCTTTTCCCAGAGGACGGAGGGTGGGGCTGAAAGTTCCAAGCTTCGACCATGGCTTCATCTTCTTGGTGACTAGCCCCCACCCTGAGGCCATCCAGGAGCCCACCAAGAGTCCCTTCATTAAAACAAAAGGCACTGACCCAAGAAATTATAAGTGTTTTAGGATCCTGGGGCGGCACTGAGCCTAAAGAAGTGTTGTGTATGGACACCTCCCTCCTTTCAGTTCTCCCCCTGATCCACACGCCTGGTCCCATGACCCACGCCATCTCTGAGATGTGTGACCTCCAGGGACATGTCCAGTAGGCCATTGCCTACCGGGCCTGCACCTTTGAAGAAAGCTGCCTTTGTGTGTGCGTGTGGAGGGGAGTGGTCACTGAAGCTCCATGTTGGGGAGGGCACACGTTGAGCTCGCCCAGGGACAAGGTCAGAATGGAAAGGCAAGGGAGCCCAGCTCAAAGCTCTCGAGACTTAGGAGGTAGGAAAAGAAGTGCACAAAGGAAGCCGAGAAGGGCTGGCCCCAAACTGTAAGGGGAAACCAGGGGCCTGTGGTACCAGCAGTGATTCCATAAGGAGAGGGATGCTCAATGAGAAGAGCTGAGAGCGCAGGTGCGGACGAGGTCGCTCTTGCACAAGGCTGCTTCCACGTGGGAGAGGGCCGACCTGGACCTGGGCTCCGGCCCAGAGCCAGTCACCTCAATTTCCTCATCTGTCCAAGGGTCCTGGTCCTCCTGATCAGAGGAGATCCTGCAGGCAGCCGCCACTCCAGCATCTCGTCCAGCTCTCCACTGCACAGAGAGAAGGGAGGTGATGGCCAAGGTTTCCGGTCCTGGGCTGGGGCGGGGAAAGGCGGGAAATGGACGAGGTTCTCCTCACCCTTCCTGAGGCAGACTGCTCTCAGGGTTCTTCCCACCCCTTCACAGCATCCATCATCTCCATCCCTCCCCACTCCCTTCGCCTGGGAGGCCTGGGGAAACCGCCTGCAACTTCGTGGCTGGCCTAGGGGAGAGCGAGAAGGGGCAAGCAGGGGTGTGGAAGGGGCGGGCGTTGTGGGGGTAGGGGGCGGGCTCCGCAAGGTTGGTCCACACTCCACGTCCAGGGCCAAATCGGGATGGTTCAGTGTCGGAGCCCTGACCCGAGACTCGATCCCGAAGATGCGCAGACTCCGCACAAGAGCCTTCCAACCTGGCCCTTTGCTCAGACTCCTACAGCGGGGATCCCCCCGCACTGGGGGTCCACTGCTCAGCCCGCAGCGTCCGCGCACTCGCACAGGACCAGGTCCGCCGGCACACCCCCTGCCCAGTCTCCGCGCGCTGCGCTTCCCTGGGCCTGGCCTCCGGGCTTCTCTCTGGTGCAGCCTGGCCCCTCTGGGCCTCAGGACACGGGGTTGGCGGAGGGATGGACGTGCTGAGACGCGGATGGGCGACCGAGGCCTAGCAGTTTGCGGACGCGGACCACACCCTCCGCCCACCGTTTCTGGGAGAGACTGGCGCCACCTGGAGGCCAGCCTCGGAGATGCCCGAGGGGCCCCTGATGGCTGATCCCTGAAAAGGCGGCGACAAGACTCCCTTTCTCACAGGGATCCCCCCTTAACTGCTACCCAGAGATGGCATGGCAGATCCGACCAACAGCCCGAGCCTGACCTATCCACCTCCGCCCCTGCCCTGCCACCCTCCACACCAGCAATTTCACCCTGTGGGGAGGGAGCACACAGACCTCCTGCCACCCTCCTGTGCCCCATAGAGGCCTGTAGCCTCAGGCCCCCCTACTGTCATCCGGGCATCCAAGCCTGGCTTCTCTCACCGCCCACCTTCGCCTGGAGGGGGAGCTGTTGCAGGCTGAACTTTGGGTCCGGGATCCTCGGTTCTAGTCCAGTCTGCCCATGTCTGAGCTGCACCTGTAGGATCAAGATGACTTCCCACCTAACTGGGCTATTGTGGGGAGACTGTGGGAAGATAAATACAGATTGTAAACAGGTGATGCACCTTTGTTCTGGCCAGTTCCTCTCTTGCCCATCCTGGGGGGTAGCATGAACAACTGTCCAGTGGACGAGGTGCAATTCCCAGGGCCTCAGGCAGGTGACTTAACCTCTCAGCTTCAGTTATCTCACATGTACAATGGGGATAATCTCTAAGTAGCCAAGTTTTCAGGAGGTTGGGATGATAAATGTATCAAGTAACTGACATGGTGTTTGGCACATAGTAGCAAAACACAAAGGCAGTACCAGCTGCTATTATTAAAACTATTCTGATCGAGAAATGCCTATTCATCCTTCAAGACAGCCCATTTGTCACCTCCTCCTGGAAACCTTCCTTACTTTCCCCATGACAGTCATGGCTTCCATCTCTGGACTCCCACAGCCCATGACCTTCTAGCACAGCCTTTTTACTTTCTCAGCGAGTGAGTGTTTAGTGCCTCATGCTTATGCTGAATAAAACACAGACCCTATTCTCATAGTAATGAGGAAGGGGAATGTGTAAAGAGGTGGATAATTTCATGGCAGTAAGGAGTCAGTAAAATGAGAAAACAGTAGAGAAACTAAAATGCGCAGCAGCTATTTATAGTGGGGTGTCAGGGAGAGCCTCTCAGAGCAGGTGACATTCAAGTTGTGGACCAGCAAAGATTTAGAAGAGCCCGTTGCCAGGCCGAACAGTTACTGCGAAGGCCCTGAGGCAGGGGGAATACATGTGGCATGTCTGGAAACAGAACAATCCAGGAGACTGGAACACAGTGAGCAGCAAGCACGCTTGTCACTGTATCTAAGTCTACATCTGGATGAACCCCTTGAGGTCAGAGATCTTTACTGGGTGCACAGCACAGGACAGATCTGGAGCTCTGACTAATTCCGTTAGAACTCCATTTTGTAGGAATGGGAGTAAGCCAGCTGGCCTTTCTGCAGCCCCATTCACGTATGACAGGACTCCAACTGGGTTGCCCAGCAGGCAGGGGCTCCCTCTCTGGACCAGCAACCCGCAGGGCAGAGTTGTTGAGAGGGAGGACAGAGAGGTGCCCAGCGGAAGTGACCTGGCAGAGGTCACGTAGCCAGCAAGCAGCATAGAGGGGTCTCAAATCCGGTTTCCTCTGCTCCTTTTCCTCCACTGCCATGGGTTTCCTACCCCGTATACCCTACTCGCCCTCTCCCTCCCTGAGGAGTGGTGTCAGGAGCTCTGAGGACCTTAAGGAGGAACCAAAATGAGGCCGATGTCAGGTCCTTCTTCTGCTACACACACACACACAGAGCAAGGATCCCACAAGCTCCTTCCTTCCAAAGCACTGCCCAGTCAGGCAGCCTGAACTGGTACCCTCTGGCCCTGCGTGTGGAGGAGGTCAGCTGGCAGTGAGAGGTTAGGGGTCAAAGCCTGGGCCCTTGTACAACAGGACTGGGAGGCCCTGGGCTCCAGATCCAGCGCCATCACTCTGACGCTGCAGCCGCCTCTCCAGGGCAGCCAGGGCTGAGACACAATCTCCTGAGCGAGCACGCCGCAGGCCTGCCACCCAGCGCCATCTGCGGTTAGCTGCTAGCCCTTCCCAGCCTGATACGGGCTGTCAGCAGAAAACCTGGCTTAGCAGGAGGAACCCTTGACCCCTAGGAAGAATGACATGGGCATCTTCAATCCAATCATCTTCATGCTCCCACAAAATTTCACTGGAAAATTTTATTGAAAAAAAAATAATTGTACAAATAAGTTTTTGGTTTGACAGCAACAAAGGCTCATTTTCTCCCATCCCTCCCCACCTTTGAAAATCTATTAAAGGAAAAAAAAGTTCATCCCCATGATGCCTGACCAGAGTCTGCCCAGAATCATTCCCGTTAAGTATCTCCTGACTCCCCCTAACTGGGGCCAGGGCTACTGTGAGGATGCCTATCCCAGGGGCAGCAGCACCTAGTTTACAGTTGAGGGGAGTTGGGAGGAGACTGGGATAGTGCTGGGGAGGGGGCTGGGGTGGTGGTAGTGTCGGGAAAGGAGGGTCCACATTCCGTGAGGGCTCGGCTGAACGCCCAGCTCGATTCCGTCTCACAGGCGAGACTGCACTTGGCTATAAATATGAACACTGATTGAGGACTGGAGGGTGGGGCGTGACGACGGCCGCTCAGGTCCCTCGGGATGTGGGGCTGGGCTCAGCACCATGGCATCTGGGAGCCCATGTCCAAGCAGAGTGAGTTCCGTCTGAGATCCGCTCAGACACACAGGAAGCCCGCTGTCCCCCGCCCACCCACCCCATGGAATATCCAAGGTCGGTACTTCAGCTCTCCCCACCCCCATAGCACCCATA